GAGTTAGAAATAGAATTGTAAATCATATATTAGCATATGCTTAGTTCATTGTAATTTGAGTGGTAGGAATAATGCCTATAAAAATACTGTAATCATTTCTATATTGGAATAATGATGCTTCACTGTAAAATATTGTGACTTAGAATATGTGTAAAATATGGTAGAAATGCTGCTATGCTGATAGCTGCGAAGGTTACGGAGAGTATAAAAGCAGGAAACGTTAGATTATCTGGTTATTCTTTCTAAAAGTCTTTCAGTAATTGTATTCGGCTAGAGTAGAGCTGTGTGTAGTTAGTATTTGTGCTGGATCTATCAAAGTTCTAATTTTCTAAAACTTTGGAATTTTCGTGATCGGATTTTATCGCAGTCTTCAGCTACAGTTATCTTTATTTCAGAAAAAATTCTGGTTATATAGAAAATACTTATGCGTAAACATGTTGTTATCGCTATCTCTTTCTCTTAAATTGGTTTTCGTCACCCTAATAAATTTGTAAACAGATTTCCTACGTTATCTCACTTTTTCTAACAGGATTGTCAGGAAAAACGTTTGACGACTATAACATTAAACCTGCAAATGGTAATATCAAAAAATTCTAGTAATACATTTACTAAATTTAATATAAATAAGGTATCGGCATATCACCGAATACATAAGAATCTTTAGAAACCTAAATATCCTATTCTAAGAACTATTTTTACTTAAGTTACTTTTAATATTCAAAATTATAAGATTTATACTTTACACATCAACGGCATTATAACAATGAGCCGCTAGCGAAATCAATTAATTATCCAATTTTGGGTTTAGTGATAAAATGGCCAAAGTGATATAGTTGGCATATCTTACGCAGAAGAACTTCAATGGTATGAAAATCCCAACATGCTAAAATCTTTCTATAGTTAAGCAAATAAGATTTATGGGTGTCTTAAATTATTAATATAAACGTTAAAATTGTCTTACCTTTCCGTAACTTTTATACTTTTAATTCAAATACCTCGTATATCAAGTTGTGATATATACCAATCACGAAATTCCAAATTTTAGAAAAATAAGGGCTTTACTGAATCTTATACAAAGATTAACTACACACAGCTCTACTTTAGCCGAATACTACTACTAAAGACTTCTAGAACGAACTAACAGAATAATCTAAAGTTGCATGCTTTTATACTTTCCGTAGCATTCGCAGCTACAATCCGCATGGCAACCTTTTACCTTATTTTACACATAGGTAAATTATTCTTAGTAAGACTATTCTACTGCGGACCATCATTAATCCAATATGGATACGACTACAGTACTTACGTAGATATTATTCACACCAGCCAAAGTACAATGAATTAACCATATCCTAATATATGATTTACAGTTCTATTTTTACCTATAGCCTTATTAGTAACTCAACAGCTTACTGTATATAGTCATTTGTACTCTAGCATAGAGTCTCTACCACTACAGTCTATAGTTATAGCTACCAAATATCTCTTAGGATAAATATCTACCGTACATTATACTACACATGGCTAACAGTCTACAATCACAATACTAAGTTACATTACACATGTCTAAGGTGTATTTTGGCCTTTGACAAAGTAATAGCTAATTTGGAAATACCCATAATAATCATCTTGTTTTTAAGCTTCCTACTATGACTTCACAAAACTGTGCTTAATTAGAAATTACGCTCGTGACTAAATTAAATGTACTACAATATAACTCATGCAAGTATAGATAAAGTTTTATTTTAGACCGTATTGTTGACCAATGATGTACATCGATACTTGAGTAACACCAACTGGTAGAATGAATTTATGCTAGTTTTCTTTTGATGGTCGTAGCATGAATTATTGGGATTTAATAGATTGAGAATGGTTGAAGTTAGATTCTATTTGGCTTCTATACTGTAGGATAAACAATTTAATAAAATGTTATAAAGCGTTGTATTTATTCATCTATGCTGTACTTGTAGTCATTTCAAGTTGGTAACGTTAAGGCAACAGCAAAGTTTAAAAATATTTAAATAAATATAATTTTCATTTGGCACTTGCAATATCTATGACTGTAGAGGTTATGTCTGTTTATTAATGCCTGCTATTATTGATAATGAACAAGGTTTATCAAATTTAGCACCTTCTAATTTATTGCATGTATATAAGCATAAAGATCAGTTGAATTCTAACCGTGAAAGTTTATAGATAAAACGATTAATATAATTTATACCGCAGGATGTTTCAAATTAGGGCAATTATAATAACCTTTAATAAGCAAATTGCATTTTTCTTTGTCGATAAAAAAGCTTCAATTATATACAAGATAAGTATTTAGAAAAGTAATATGACTTAAAGAAAATTTTGATCTCAGGTTTACTTAGAAATTTGATAATTTTAAAGGATAAAGTTTTATTAAATGATTAGTAATGAAATACAGTATTTAACTGAAAAATTTCCAATCTATTTACTCTTTATATACTTTTAAATCCTTCGTGCCAACTTTTACTTATTATTCTGTTATTGATTTATTGACTTGATATGAAAACTCTTCCACTGTGTCCTTATTTTATTTAGGAGATCCATAATCATCTATTTTCATTCAATGATATGGGATTATTATTTCTATCTACCGTAGATACTTATAGTTAATGCCCAGTTATAAACTACCTGAAATGAAAGTAAAAACATTTTTCTAACATAAGCCCGCATTATAGAGATTAGATATCTATTTTATTTGAATTAATGATGATAGTGTTCTTTTTGTCTATGTGCTTAATACTGATTTAGTTAATATTTTGGTGTACAGCATTAAGAAATTGTATTTCTAAACCTACAAATTATCATCGATTTGATTATTATTCCAAGGGCTAACAGCAATATCAATATTATAGCCACATAAGTTAGCATATTGATATATTTAAATTCTAAACAGAATATCCTAACTATCCTTGTATTAATTTCAATTGCAAATAAAAATGCTATACAAACAAATAGCTATTGGTGACTATAATAGATCAAATTTGTCTATAGAAAATGGAAAGAAAAAACTAATGAAAACATGCGCATGTCTGATCCAAAGCTAAACTATAAGACTATTTGGACCAAAGAATCATGCTTAAGAATAGCATTATTTAGCTAATAGATATTATTATTGTAATACTTGCTATTAATTTTGAAATTACTATAATAAGTTTAAGTTTAAAGTAGCTAAAAAATTGCACTAGAATAACAGAAAACTGAGAGTAATTATCATTTATGTTGACAAGGTATTAACAATTCAGGTAAGCCTTGTGTGCAAATGGTAAAGAATAGATCCGAGTAGGAAAGAAACTGCAATAACTAATGAGAGGAATATGGAAACATCTTCGAACAAAAGGCTTTCTTTAACGAGATAGAATATCAAATGATATCAATTTTACATCATCTAATAAAATAACAGCATACATTACGAAAAAGTAAGTTTGGTAAATAATATTTCGTAAGCGTTGCTATCATAACATGTATTGACCTAAGTAATAATTCAATTCTTGATCATAAGATCATCAAATTATCCGTGTTATTCATGATCAGCGAAGTGAGAATATATTCATTATGGCTATAAAAATAAGACTTGCACGTTTGTTTTAGTCAGATCGATAGGTGGGAAATCTTTCTATAGGAAGAAGAGAATTATCTTTGAACGTAAATATTGTTAATATAGCCAAGACTGACAGCATTAGATTAATATCTTATTTAATTGATCTCTTTATTACAATAATTGTTCAATATAGATGATGATTCATTATTTTTTTTACGAGCTGATGCAGTGACGTAAATATTCTATCATATTAATATCAGCAATCTGCTCGAGAGATGCATAGGAATAGTGGTACATAAATTATTATGTTGATACTCAGTCTATAAAAAAAGTAGATAGATTCTTTACTATAATAAGTAGAAGGCTGGCTTTTACTTCTAAAATATCTTTTTACTTCATCACGATCGATCTAACTAAGATAGATGAAAGCTAACTACAACATGAAAATCTATCAGAAATTTTCCTACGATCTTAATTTGATGGATCAATCTCTGAGTGTACATATAACACATATTCGTATGCTCGTTCGTATGCAGGAGCGTATCTACGCTATCTGCTCCAGGAAAAGTAAATTTTATATTCGCGAATGCTTGTAAAGCTCTTTGATATCTTTTCATTTCATTTTACACGGAAATGGACAATTCCCACTTAACAAAATAGCTTTCCATCATAATATGCTCAAATTATGACTGCATTGAACTGCTATCTCACCTATTCGATTACAACACTGTATATAGGAAGTTTGATTACTTTTAACTTTATAAAACCAGAATATTAGAAACATGAAGGTCAATAATTATGTCCGACTTGGTGATGAAAGTGAATAATTAGATCGATCTTGGGAATAATTATATAGAGAATTTCGCCGATTTCCAGAAGGCCATCAATTAAAGTAGTCTGGTCGATTAAAAGGATATAAACTTTCAGTCAAATTAATAAGTTTACTAAGGGAATGTCTTAAATCTTCCTGCTTCAACTTGATAAGAGCTAGAAGTAGGTAATAAAGTTTAATCAGCTTTATAGCGTAAATAACTATCTATTGAAAGATGCTACTGTATAATAGCCATAATTTCAATTCGGTAGAATGAGCAAATATTTATTTTCCGTTTCAGTTGGAAAGTCACTCTTTTTAAAAGTCCTCCAATAATCTTTCATTTGTTCGATCTCATTGCCAGATCAATACATTTTAGAAATTTTTTTTCCTTCTTCTACCTTGAGATTCCCAGTTGTCAATTATAAAAACATCATTTAAACTAATAGCATCTTTATTTACATCTACCTACCTGAACTATTATGAAATCATATTATCAAAGGCGTTATTATTTCAATTAATTGTATAGTTTATTAACTAATTCTGTTGCTAGTTTATTCCCTAACTACCTCAAACAAGATAAAATTAGTCCGATGCCCTAATTATTTAATTAATTGTATTTTACGCTTGATTTATGCTATATGCGTAAGATGTTGGATTGGCGATGTTGGCAGCAGCTGCTTTACAGCCGAGAAACAAATAGAATGCTCTCCTAATTTCAGGATTAAAATAACCGTAGATTAATGGATTAACAGCACAATAGGAGAAAGCGATACTGCGTAGAACCTGAACGTTAAACGTATTTAGCGATGCTACAAAGTTTCGCATAAAGGAATTATTCTGTCCAATAGTAGAAGGAATGATAAGTACCATCGTGTTGAATATTATGGTTGGTAACCACGTTAGTAGAAAAGTACCAACCATAACAATAAAGGGCTTGGCTGCACGTATATTTTTCTTACGTAAGCGAACATCATTATTAACCTCATTGGATACATAGTAGTTGCGATCAATATTTCGAATATGGCGAAAAGCAAGGATGCTAATATAACCGTAGCAATACAACATGATCATTAAAGGTACAACAAAGATGATGATTTGAAAGATGATAAAATAGGCTATCTCTTTGTTAATTTGGTTATAAGCGATGCGAACGCAACCATTAAAAATCTTTGGATTATAGGGGCGATAGGTGAAAATAGGTAGAAATGATATTGTAAATCCACTTATCCATATTCCGGTAACAATGATTAAGACAGTCTTCCGTGTTAATTTAACCGTTAAAGGATAGGTAATTAATAAATACTTTTCAATACCAACGAGACATAAATGAAGGTTAAGAATAACTAGGCAAAAATTTCGGAATGGACCAAATAAAGGGCAAAAAATATTGACCGATGCCTTGGAAATGATATTAAATGGAAAAAGGAGACAGTAAAAGATAGCAAAGATGATGCAACCAAAGCACATGCTAGCAATGATGCTGTTATGATTAATTGCACGTAGACGTCGCCGTGATAATATAAGATAGGCTAAGACAGAATTGGTTACTAAAGTGATGAAACCCAGTATTTCCATAAATATGATGAGACCTAGGTCATTGCTCAATAACATCTCGATCGTTGGTGTAGTTTTATTTGTTATATTGCTCATGTTGATTGATGATAACTATGGATAATAATGACCTAAAGGAACGATTAAATGTGACTAAGTCCTCGCTGATAATGGGAAAAATTCTAAACTTAACAGTATGGTTTTGAAGTTATTTTATGACGATTGAATAATGGCAACAATTCCAATCTTGGTCATAGAGAAAGGTATTAATGTTACACTCTTGTCTGCTAACTAGTTTAATGAAGATGGCTTCCGCTGAATCTTGTTTTACCTCTCAACTTAATTCATACACTGTATAATAGACAAGATAGCATTTGATTTTAAAAACTATCTCTTCTGTAACGTTAAGATGTTTCCGAAAATTCTATTTAGCTTCTAGTTTCAACCGATTGAATAATATCAAAATCGATTACACCTTTCTTCACGGAATGAATCTTGACAATTTTCTTGACTTACTCAGTTATTTAATTTTGTCTTTAAATAAATTTAGTCTAGAAAGGGAAGAATACGGAAAGTACGATGAAGTAATTATTCCTTCTTTGAGTCTTTTTATACATATGGGAAGCAAGGATCTAACTTGAATCAGTTCTAGGCCAAGCACTTGACTTTGACAACTGATAGCTATAGCAAGCTTGATAAAAATGGCTGGAAGATTTTCGAGCAGTGACGTAGATTCTGTCTTGATCAAGAACGATTATATTCGGTATTAGTTGTTGATATTTTACAGTCTTCTATTCTACGTCTTGAAGTTATCGCTCTTGTAAAAGGATCAATGGAATTGATCGACCTTTTATTTATTCCTTTGGAGTTGTAATTAATATGAGCAAATGGTGTATTTTCCTTTTCTCAAGTCGACGAACGTCCAATGCAATCAAAATTGAAATGATTTCGTGCAGTGGATAATGGAAGTTGGTAAAGTGCCACGTTAACCTAATTTAGTAACTATATTTGTTCAATTGTGCTATTTTAACAGGTCTAGCAAATGGTAATACTATCTATTAAATAAGCACATTATCGTAAACCGTCAGCAAAGCGACGGGAGTTTGCACTAGTGGATATTAAATTAAATAAAAAGCTGATTGGAAGGAAATGTTCAATTAACCCCACAGAGACCAAGGTCGTAAATCTTCGACTAGAAAAGAATTCAAAACTGACAGCTTGTTATGCCTGTTTGACTTTTACGTTAGTAAAGTCCTCCCAAAACTTCCAATAAATATTGCCTACAAGAGAATAACTAATTATTTCTAAAGCAAGGGATAATTTATATCCAAGAATAGAATGTACTCTTGGTTTGATGTACACTGTCAACTGTTTTTTGTCTTTAAATTATATATAAATAACAATTAAGGCTTAGATCATGAATAAATTAGATGATAAATGGTAAGCTAATATTTTCTTCTTGGAATAAAATATAGCTTAATGGTATCTCTGTTTTCTTCCTTGCCTAATATAGTAATTACTTTTCTGAAAAGGGGAAGTCAAACTTGATTAAACTGGGTGTTTTATTTCTTTTTTTCACAGCGATAATGGGATCGATTTTATTTCTTTACTCTTTTTTTACGAAGACGAGATAATTGACCTTGCTTACAACAGCTATTTTGTTCGATACTATTCCAATAGGAAGTTGATTGTGGTAGAGGAAATGAAACGATAATACCTGCCGTTAAAGATGATCAAATCATGGTTATTACTCAGCTTAAGCTCATATCCAAGTAAAGAAACCTTAAAACTTTAACCAATTTTTCTAAAACAAATGCGTTTAATTTACAAATAAGTATTATTTGATTCAAATTTTAACCAATTTTTCTAAAAGTAATGCTTAATCCACAAATTAATATTATTTAAGCGCTATTTCGTAAGGAGAAGAGAATGCGAATGCAAGTTGCTCAAATCGATGCGTGCCTATGTTACAAATCATTCAATGACATCTAACCATATCTTTCTTACAGCAATTTTTTTAACTGATTTGCCCAATAATCATTCAATAGAATTATAACTTAAAAGACAAAGCTAGCCTACATACTATCGAATTAGACTAACTTGCCTAACTTTACAGTTTTTCGTAATGGAATTGTAGCGTTTATCGATAACTTTAACTGAACAGAAACTAGTATCACTGAAAAAGTAAAATTACGAGTTTTTATGCACGTGCTTTGTCGATCGTTGAATCAATTTGTCAATTCTTTACTTCGTGTATTGCAATTCAGCTTTATCATTTAACATCATTTGCAGTTAGCAATTTATCCCTATGCTAAGTCCATTTTTTCTGTACAATATAAGATGAAAATAAAATAACAAATACGTAAAAATGATGAACTACAAGGTATAGACGTACATTGAAATGGATTTATTCATGAGTCGAAATAGTAAATATCAAAAAATGATCTATCTAAGCAAACCTGGTATAGATGATGTATGATTAGACTTGTATCATGAGAAGATTGTAATTAATCTTGGAAGGAGTGGAGTATAAGAAAGGAATAGTTCGAATATCAAAACGATGTCTGGGATAATGGTAGAAATAGACGATTGATTGTATTTATGTATAGAATTAGATGATAATTTCAATACATTAATATTTGAGTAAAGGAAGAAGTCATGATGTTTGTTTATAAATAGTATCATCAATCAGTTTATTAGTTATGATCTCCAAGAAAAACTACATAATCCTTTCTATCGATGAATGATTTGATCCTTTAATACTTTAAACTCAAAAGGTAGCATTTGCATGACTAAGAGCGAGGAAGTTGCAAAGCACTTGACAACGGTGACCCCCTACAGGTACTTGCTTTAAAATGATGACAAAAAGTAGGATTTATGATTGTAGACATAGAAAATAAAGTAATTGACAAATTCCAATAGAATTATACAATACACAACTTGATATTAACCAATAGATACTACTAACTAAAATAGATAGGGTGTTGTCAAGTTAAAATGTAACAACATTATACTATAATCATATTATGCAACTACAATAATATTAATAAATATCCAATGCAGCAATATCATTTTATTTGTTCTACAATAAAAATTTTAATATCTATTACATTAAAACGTTGGATGATGATTATTGTCTTCCTAGGATGGATGCTTTTTGTTATTTTGTTATGTTTTATTCCAACTCGTTCCTATACCTACAATATCCACCCATCATCAATCATTTATCATCCTCAAATAAATAAGTTATCCTGCTTATAGCGTATTCTTTAATTTCCACCTCAATAACAACAAAATTATTGAAAAGAAAGCCTCTAACTATTATTCAAACAGCCAATATTATGTCTATTTTATGCCATGGAATAAAATGTTTACTTGAAATTTTCCTTATTATATAATTTATAAGGAGATTAAGTAAGCAACAAATACAAAAAATAATTCTTCCACATGTCAAATGTCTATGTGCTATAACATGAAAGCTTCAGCTGTGGATTTTATTTTTCATCAAGTGTTATTGCATAAATACTATTGATAACGAGCTAACCATAATTACTTAAAAAATAAACGACTTTTGTCCACATAATTTTTTTAAAGTCTAAACATGCATTGAACGTACCCAGTTATAATTAGCAGGTGATCATCACTATCATCATCTTACTGATCTAGTAAGATGTGAATACTTCTATAAATCTAACTTAATAATAAGTAAAAGAATGATTATACATGATTAGCCTATAAAATAAATTTATCTCTTCGAAAAAATCTCCATCTCAATAACAACCAGGCAAAGATATTATAATGATCAACAACGATAATGTAGTCACAAGTAAAATTACTGAGTGGCGAACAAAATAACACTATTATGCTGCCTTGAAATTAAATTTTAGCATGTGTCAGAAATACCAGTGATGCCTATAGAGGTGTTATTAATACGATAAAAAGAAAAGCCATTCGAGAATATGACATTTATTGGTTAATGCTTATAGTACTTACGTGAAACCTTACTGCATATTGACTAGTTGAATCTGCAATATTATCACTTTTGTTTATTAAATAGGACAGAGGTTAGCTTAAGAGAAATTAAAAAGATAAAACTATTTTGAAACTCTGCTACTTATTGTTAAAATTAGAGTATTTAATATGATGCTTTAACGTATATTGCTAAATTAGATTTGTAGTATTAGCTGCAGCTTATCAATTAGGGTAAAAGTTAGCTTGAAAAGAATGAAATAAAATAGTTGGATATATTGGCGCCTATTTGTTTAGCTTTAAAGTATTTTATGTAAAATTTTACTGCACATTATATCGGTTTGTGAGGTACGTCTTTTGTATTTTAAAGACTTCGACTATTTAACTATACAGCGTAATTCTATCGTAAGTTGGTAAGTAAGATTTATAATCATATCGATACAGTTTTGTGTAGTTCAGTAAAATGACGTGGAATTAATGCTGACAATATTTTATACTAGTACGAATCATGATACTGTGATATCAGCAAAAAATAAATACATTGTCACGGAAATTTAAATATATTATCTGTCCAATTTTAAACGGTTTAATTGAATCTATCGATAGGATAGTAAGCTGAATTTATAATCATATCGGAGAAATGTTGCTTTCTAGAATAATAGTCAGCTTGAGAATAGAGATGTAGTCCTAAAATGGCTTAGCGAGTTAGCAAATAGATGCTATTATCATGTGTACGAGCAAGTATAACTCTATACTGCGATAAAATAAATTTTAATTGTAACATTACTATTTCTTTTATAGAAATCGACGAATTCACAATAATATTATCATCTACCAGAGAATGATAGTTATAATTTTTACATATATAAATTTAACCAGAGTGAACACAATTTAGATGCCAGTAATTTTTCTATAATTAAAGGTAGTTATATGGACATTGATGTTCGTTATATAATATTAAAAATCAGTAATTATGGCTACATTCGCGAATTGATAAGATAAATAAATATTTAAAAAAACTAGTTTCAACTTTAATAGAAACATAGCGCTACGATTATTTTGTTATTGGTGGCTCTAGTAGCCATATCAAGAATATTTACTTTTTAACGCAGAAAAAACTGATAAAACCT